ATTCCATTGGAGGCAAAAAAGTCTTCAGGGTGTTAAATTAATATAACTTGCTCCAGGAATTAATCATATACTGGTTTATTATAATAATTAATTTAAAAATTATTATGCCCACAAGCTCATGACAGTTTCTTTCATTTTACAAATATGTAATGAGCACTTGCTATTTGTGAGGCTTTCTTCTGAATATATGAGATGCATTAATGAACAACAAAAATGACAACCCTTGCCCTGGTGGAGCAGTACATTTGAATTAGACAATATATACAGAATATAAAAAGTAAGTTATACAGTATGTTTGACGATGGCTACTGCTGTACAAGAAATTTAAAATAGGCTGGCAAGGAAGTGTGGTATCTCTAGGAGAGTTATTTCATGATTTAAATAGCTGGGTTAGGTAGGTCTCAGAATGATGACATCAAGGAAAATACTTGAATGAAATGAGTTAGCTGTTCGGGCAGGGTGGGGGAGCCTTTCATGTAAAAGGAACAAGTGGTTTGAAAGTCTAAGGAAAGAGCATTTCTTGGTAAGTCAGGAGACAGAAGAGCCCAGTGTAGTCACAGCAGACTCAGTAAAGTAATGTGATACAAAATAGTTATAAAAATAAGTTGTTGTAAATACTACAGTGTCAAACATGCTATTAGGCACAGCGTGCTTCCATAAGATTCCTTTATTAAATAAGAATACTTCATTATAAAATTTCAGTATTATCTTACTGAATTGAATTTATATTACTGTTTTTCTTTATCCATGAGCTAATAACCCCTTTGATTTTTGAATTTCTGCTCTTTTCTTTTTAAAATGATGAAGATTAACTTATATAGGAAACTAATCATTAATAATGAGTTTAATTTCATCATTACAGAAGGCTATTTAAGAAAATTGATGCATAATTTATTGAAAGTGTAATGCTAAGAATCATTCTTCATCCTTTCATTTAACATATATTTATTGAATCCATAAAATATTACAAGCACTTGGTTAAGTGCAATTGATAGGAAGCCACAATTTCATGGATTTTGCTACCTTGGAGAAACCAGAAAGTAGGGTTTAAAACATATTCTACAAGTGCTGTGAGAATGGAAATATGATGTGCTCTTGGAGTGCAGGCTCTAAACCAGACTTGGATCATTAAAATCTCTGAAAAAAGGGATATTTTTACATGAAACCTTAGACATTAGCAGAAGCTGGCTTGGTAAAGATGGTAATGGTATTTGGGGAGAGGAAACACTACTTGCAAAGATTCAAGAGTGGAGAAAGAACTTGCAAACCCTAGAGTCAGGTCAGGTGCTTAAGCAGAAGGAAGACATGACCATATTTTTTTTTAAATCAAAAGGCTCATTCTAACATATAGTAGGGAATGTACTAAAGGGGTCAAGAACAAGAAAGAAAGGTCCATTCAGGGACTGCTGTGGTGAATTAAGAAAGTAATAAGGGTATCTTGGCCTGGAAGAGTGACAGTTATCTTTGAAATAAATGGATCCCCCAAATATTTTAGTAGGTGAGATGAACAGACAGTGAATGAATAAGTATGGAGGAGGAGGCAGGGAATGGAAGTTAAGGGTAGAGCCCCAGTTTCTAGGTTGAGAAACAGATGGAATGAAGCCTTCAGGAAGACCACACAATGAACAGGTCTGAGGGTAGGGAAGACCATGAGTACTGTGTTTACATGGTCCATAAACATGTGGATCAAGGGGCTGGGGATTTAGCTCAGTGATTCCACTGCCTGCCTTGTAAGTGCAAGGACCTGAGTTTGATCTCTGGTACCAAAAAAAAAAAAAAGTTTTTCTAAAAACATGTGGATCAAAAGCTCAGGACAGACTTAAAGGTATAAGAGAAAATAATAGATTTGTTATAAAAGAAATAGTGTTTGACATAACATGTAAATTTGTATTATTTATATATTATCCATTTTTCTCTAAAAAGTAAAAATAAGTCTCTGTTTAATATATTTTAAATGTTCTTAAGAGTGCACAATAAGGTGAAATTTTATTTGAAGTATTTTTGATTATAAAGTAAGGATTTTCAGGGACAAAATAATAGTTTAGTAATAAACAGTAGTTTTATTTAAAGTATGCCATTTTGTTTGTTTTTTAAAATAATTGCACTTGTTTCTATTCTCTCAGAATAAAAATAATTCTATCAAAGAATTTTATCAGGATAAAAATTCTGATTTTACTTATGGCATCATTTAAGTATGAAGAATCATATGCAAATGGTTATTTACAAAATACAAATGGTATGTAAACAAAGTCAACCTTGAATGGGAATGTATCTGTAGTGCTATTTGCTACATCTAGGTGTTCAAAAAGAAATGCTTGCCTTAATATATATCAGTAAAGAGGCATGAAATGGAAAATTCAGAGTTTGAAGTAGACAGCTGTCCTTATAATTCCTGCTGTGCCTTTTAATATTGCAAAGCACATAAAATATTTGTATTAGTACCAATTAATCAGCATTATCGTTATAATTTGATTAGCCAGTTACTGAGTTAGCAAATGTCAAAAAGAGGAACCATGTCTCCAAAGTTTAAAATAAAATTTCCTGTACTAGGAAAAGCAGATATAACTGTTAAAAAAACCCATGAAAATTGGACTCTCCGCTCAAGCTTCTTCCTTTGTCAAAGGGAGATAATACCACATAATGCAAAGTGTTATGATAAGAATTAAATGAGGTCATCCTCCTAAAACCCTTACCAGAGAACCTAGCATAAAAATATATTCCATAGACCCTGGCCAGCAGTAGCTAGTAATATTAGTTGTTATAGCATTATTCTGTATACAAATTCAACTCATTGTGTTTAGACCCAAGGAGAAGGAAACAACATTGTGTTTTTGTTTAAAATATATAACCTCTCTACCAGTAAATAAGTCTTCCTTCAGATCATCACTTTTTCTTTGCCAGGGTTCATATTAATTATCCCCCACCATGATGGTCTTCCTGATGTTACCCCAACTCATCATTTTTATTGTTGCCTTAGCAACACTTCTGGTTTCACCACTCCTTAGGAAAAACAAGAAGAAATTAAAGTGTAACAGAAAACAAAAACAAGTAAACAAGCCAACAACAACAAATTCTTTAATGATTCTAAAGAAAGGTATCAGCAACTGGTGCCAGGCAGCATCAGTACCACCATCTTTCCATATTAAAAGCTGGCTAAACTGGCCCTCCCTCCAGCAGTACTCATGTTACCTATTATTTCCATCTCATCCTTCCTGGTCTACCTTCCTACCCCACAGTGGCAAGGAAGGTGAAGAGAGAAAAGACTGGTTTTAATGCTCTATGGAGGGCTCAGGTTCTTGAAGAAAGGTGCTCTTCCCTCTCTACTCCAGTGAGGAGGCAAAATCCATAAAAATGAGAAGTCAGAGAAAGGAGACACTTACATGTTTTCCCACAATTCATTGTTTGCTAAGCTGAAAATCTAAGACCTCACCTACTAGGTGAGATAATCCTTAAGAAAACTTGGCAGCATAAAGTTTGGGGTTGGGAGGAGTATGTAACTACAGACACAGTCACAGACACAGTCCTGTCTGTGTTCTCTTTGGAGTTTTCTAGAACTAGGGATAGGTTGGCGAAGAAGGGTGGAGGTTTACTGCAGGCTGGGACCAAGACTATAGTGTAATATCACCACAGCTCCCAGAGGACCCAGAAGTGGACCTGGACAGAGGATCTCAAGATTCTCCACAAAGTAGCACTGAGGATGAAGGAAGAGGCAGGCATCCTGCTACTCAAGCAGCTGTTGGACAACTGTGGTGTTATATCAAATGCGAGGGGGTTTGGGAGCACAAATCAACAGCTCTGCCTGCCTCTTTATTAGAAGATCAGGAAAAGTGGACTCATATTCAAGAAAACTACACATACACACTCTCCACAGGGTCTTAATGGTGGAGCTTCCTTCCACAACCCATACCTGCACAGGCTCTAATTTGGAGTTGAAGAAGGAAAAGAGTAAGCCACACCCTTCCTCACTTCTGGTCTTTAGAGCTGGCATTTTTGCCTAGTGAGGGAAAAGAAGGCAGTGAGATGTAAATTGGATAGGAGACTGAAGATTTCAGCAGGACTGAATCTTAATATCTAAATGGGACTAGGAAGAGATGGAGAGTCTACTCAATATATTATTAGGGGATGGAAAATGAGTATCTAATAGAATATAATTAAAAGCAGAGTTTGGAGAAAATTTAAACTGTCTCCTACAGTCTAGTCCACTGAGATGAAACTTCTCAAAAACAGGTTAAGATTGGAGAATACTTTGTTGAAGGGTTAAGGTAAGACTTCACGATTAGCTATGGTAGTCAGCTTTTCTCTGGCATATCTGGGTAGGCCTGTGAAGAAAATAGTTCATATGCTGTTTAAAAGCAAGAGGAAAGTAATGGCATCATTTGCAGCTCTTGGAGTAATAGGTATCATTTGCACTCAGGCAGCACGGTAGTTTATATACCGACTATCCCGAGCATCTGTCAGGAAGGAAGGTGTCATTTCAACCAGTCGATTCTTGTATGGTATAAATTTGATACAATTGTCATTTTTATATTTCCTATTATATTATCTTATAAAAATTAATTTTAAAATGCCATTTTTGGTCATCCTGTATTTAAAGAATTGGACTGGGAAGTGGTTAAATATAATTTCTATTAAGTTGCCTTGACCCATAAGTGTTTGTATTTCTTTCACAGTTTTTTCTTGTTCTTTTTACCTTGATACGGATCATTCTGTGACAAAATTATGGCATATAAAAATCATAGAAAAACTACAGCACACCCTTAAATCATACTAGGCAATAAAAAACTCAAGAAGCTATCTTTAGTACCGAAAACAGGATTAAAATGAAAAGAATCAACATCTCAACTTTTGGTTGAGGATCAGTATAAATAAATTTAAAAACAAAAGAGTGTTACACAAATACCACTAGTCAGTTGTATTTTGCTTCAACATGGTAATAGCAGTTATAGCAGTTGTCCATATTTACTTAACCTTTGTCTCCTCTGCATTGTTTCCTGACTTACCTGCAGTTGGAGAGGGCCTAAGCCTGGTGTTGCTGCAGCAGCAGCTGCCATGGTAGTTGGGATCAGCTGAACAGGGTAAGGGTCACCTAAGTAAGAGAATAATAGAGGCGTCAGCACCTTTTATCTACTCTCCACCTGCAAATTAAACTCATGCATTCACTCCTTCCAAAAGCCTTCTTTTGTGTGCCTTGCTGAGGCCTAATGAAAAGCTCTATTGTGCAGCCTTTTACTAACACTCTTTTCACAATTCTGGCTGAGAGAGGAATGTGAATAAAAGGCACAAGCAATTAAGGCGGAAACCTCATCCTTTTTTTCATGATGTATTTAGGAAAATGGAGGGAAAAGTGCACATTGATCAGAAGGCCATACTTTATAACACACACACACACACACACACACACACATGGGCGCGTGCATACCTGACAATCTTGATATAAGCACAGCAAATTCTTGGCAAATGTACAGTGTTATTATAAAAGGAACTTAACTAAACTTACTTTTAACAAGCTAAGCACCAAAGAGTTCTGCCAAGTAGCTTATCTTTTGAATGATACATTATTGGTTTGATTCAAATAACCTTTATAGTATTTTGAGGACAACTTCATAGTAAAGAAAACATTTTATGTGCTTTTTAGGTTGTATAAAATATTGGTATCCTTTTATTCCTGAGATAAATGTTTCCGAAGTATGCTATGAAGACAACAGAAGGTACCTTTCTCCTTATCTAAAAATCATTAATTAAAACTTAATTATGTTTTATTACATGATCAATAAAATATAGAGATCCACAGAGACTATTCTTCATATTTTTTATGCAAATCAAGCCTTTTTATTCAGTAAAGAGGTACACGTTTTGCTCAGATCCTAATGCTGATGGTATAACTTAACAATATGTATATTACTCATTTGAAATGACCTTAGCAATTAATAGTAATAACTATTTTTATAATGCATTAAATATTTTTAAAATACTGTTATGAAAAAATTGCTGAATGTTACATGCATAAAAATGTAACATTAAGTCTGTTAATAGATTCATTTAAGAATTTTACTAAGTACCTGCTATGTGTTAAGCACTGATCTTGGAACTAAGGATTGAACTTTGGAAAAAGATTAACACACAAATGCCGATTTACTGGACATGTAATGCAGCTTAAGCTTTGGGCTTCTGAAAACAACTCTTAGCAGTATGTTCATAGGATTATATATATTTATATTTGTCAGTTTTCTTAATTTTATACTTTATTGGGATTTGTTATAAATGAATATTTACTTCTCTATCTGGGTGTGTTTGTGGGTATATGTTTCATAATTTTATTTAAAGAGGTTCTCTGAAAATATATTTTAAGTTTCAAAACACCTTGATCTAGCTCACAGTTGATGGGGAAAGAAGATAATCAAATATTTAGTCAAAAACATGGCACCATTTAGATCGGAAAGCATACATTATTACGGACTTTATGTGGAGACCCAAATCTGGCCTACAAGGTTAATGATGCCTCAGGAAAAAGTCATGTGTAAGTTGAAACTTGAATTAGGTGAAAGCTAAATAGGCAAAGAAAGGAAGAAAGAGTTCTCCACATGGAGAAACAATTTTCATGAAGATTCAGAGTCAAAAGGAAGATTTATATCAGACCATGTTCCCAGTTTGCTCAAGTACAGAGAGCAGGTTGGGAAGTAGAGATGAGCAGGACTGGGGTGGGAAGGGAATTAGTTACGTGGCTGTGTGCAATTATATGAACAAAATTAAAGAGCATAAGCCTTATCCTATAGCATAAAGGAAATCACAAATGTGGAAGAAGGCTTGCTTGAGTAAGATCTCTCGAGTTGGAGGTTGGGACGCTAATCAACCGTGAACAGATTCGGAAATCTGTATGAAGGTTAACAACAGGCTGGCTTAGGGTGGTGACGTGGGATGGGGAGTGTTGGGGAATCTGAGTAACACTGAATGGGAAGAACTGAGAAAACTTAGTGGCTCTTAGGAGAGCAAGAAAAGATTCCAGGGTGACTTCTAGGGTTACCACTTTAAATGACTGAAGACTGATACTCTCTCTTGGATTTATAAATATGGGTGAGAAAGAAGCAAGATGCCAGGTTCTGCTTGAGGGTGAAGGGAGTCACGGGGGAAGGAATAAAGAAATCTGTTTTAGCTACATTAAATTTGAAAGTACTTTAGATGCCCAAATTGAGGTGTTCATTAGACACCCGATAACATGTTAAGATTTTTCAGGAGAAGCCTACTTTGGAGAGTGGTTAGCATATATCTGAAATTCAAAGCTATAAAGCCAATGAAGCCATTTAGGAGTTAAATGTAGATTAAAAATGTGGTCCAAGGGTTGGGTTGTGGATTAACATTTGCAGTCAGAGATTTACCTAGCAGAAAAGCTTGAAAAGAAAGGTAAATACTATATCCAAGTGATCACACAGGAAAAGAATTTGAGAGAGAGAGAGATCATTTTTTTTAAATGCTGGGTTTAGTAAAGTGAAGGACATTGGTAACTTCAACAAGGAGGAGAGTATGAGGCAGCCTAGTTGGAGTGTGGTCCGAGAGGATGACAGACAGAAAGAGACTGGAGGCAAAGACTCCAGCAAAATTCTTGATGAACCATATTGGCCTCACTTACCTTACCTAGGAATTGCTGGAAATGTGGAATTTCAGAGTCAACTCTAAATCTACTGTAACAGACAGCCTTTCATATAAACCTGTAGGAACCAGCCTATGAGCTCAAACCTGACCGGGGCGACGAGGATGAAAAGTAGAGACACAGAATCAGGTTAAAATGTGGAGCGACAGCGGGTTCTTGTCTTCCTTTAACGGAGAGCCCCAACTGAGTGGTGCACCTTAGCTTTATTCACTCAGACACGGCCACAATTAGAGTTACACAGGACTCATCTGTCTCCTACCTCCCTGGTACTTGTCGGGGTAAACAACAGGATCTCAGCTGTTTTTACTTTTCCCTGCAGCGTGTCAACATGCTTGCATGCCGTCTTTCTTCTTAGGGCTCACCAAGGGGGCCAATTAGGCCTCAATCTTCCTATCTGGTCTCCCACATAAACCCAATGATGCCTCCTTACTGGTATTATGTCCCATGTAACTTCTCTTTGAATGTGGGCTGGATCTAGTATCTGCCTTCCAATGCACAGAATAAAGCAGATCTGATGAGATTTTGCTTTTGAGATTAGGTTACAAAAAGACTATGGCTCTGATTGTCTGTTCCTCACTCCCCTACTGGACCAAGCAGCTAGGTTATAAGTTGCTCTCTGGAGAGGCCCACAAAACACAACCAAGGAAAGACACTGGGCCTGCTAACAGCCAAGAGAGGAGGGTTGGAAGTGGGTGCTCCCAGGCCAAGCCTGGAGATGGCTGAAATGGAGGCCAACACCTTGTGGCAGCTATGTGAAAGAGCCTGTGTCAGAGGTACCCAGCATGGCTATGTCCCAATGAATGTTTATTTTTTTATGCCACTGAGGTTCAGGGTATTTATTAGGCCAGGAAGCATGTAACTTCTGAATGAGAATTTAAATTTTAACAAGATTCTCAGATGACTTGCATGTACCTTAGCATTTGAGCAATGCTGGAACATACAACTCCAAAGCAATCGGTAGTGAAAGATGGGTGATCAATAAAACTTAAAAAAGTATATATGTGAAAAAAATCATGGCATCCAAATTTGTAGAGAAAGACACAGTAAGCAGGAAAAGGAAAAGAAAAACATGATACAGGAGAGAGAGGGAAGAAATTATGTTACACAACAGGGCTTTGTTTACTATTTTGGTGTTTTTAATTAATCTGTAAAGCTATCGTATAAAGGAAAGTTTTAATCTTTAAAAGCTAAATTTGTATTTATGCAAATTAGATTAAATACTACATATTATTATATGATTATTAGAATCGACTAAATGCTTAAAATGATTTGTATTCATTTGTATTCTTCATTTAATGAACATAATCTTAAAAATTAAAGCAAAAATGTAGAGGCTGTGGTGCCCTTCACAGTAATAACTCATTTTATATAACTCACTTTCCCAGTTGTAAATTAATCAGTTAATAAGCACTCATAACATATACCACATGACTAGAACTCTGCTAGGTTCTATGGGAGACCAAAACCATATAACAAAGAAATTCTTCATCTTTATTCACTGCATGTCTACTTTTGTTGATTAAGTGCTTATTTGTGTTGTACTGACCATCAGTGAGGGTTCAGGAGGTAAGGGAGAAAGATTTTTATGCTTTAATCTTTAGAAAATAGTTAAAGGTAACAATAAGAATGGGCTTGGCCTTGAAGATTTTCAGGTAGAGGCCAGAAGAGAGATTCAAGGTGATACAAAATGTATCAAAGTATGAATCATTCTGCAGGAATAAAGACAGAAATATTTTAGCAGATGATAGAATAAAGAGAGAAGAGAGATGGAAGGCAGACAGTTGGGAAAGTTTTCATACTCTACGTTTTGAGTCTATCTGAATGTGAAAAGGCAATAATGAGTAATGGTGAGTGGGCTGGGGTTGTAGCACAATGGTAGAGAACTTGCCTGAGTCCAGTCCTAGGTTTAATCCCCAGTGCATCGAGAAAAAAAGAGACAGAGAGAGAGAGAGAGAGAGGGAGAGAGGGAGAGGGAGAGAAGGAAAGGGAGGGAGAGAGAGAGAGAGAGAGAGAAAGAGTCTAAATAATAGGCCGTCTTAAAGATGACTTGTATGTCTATGCTAGGAACAAAGGACTTACTCCTAAATTTGGATCAGTGACAAACACTTGTGAAAGGGTTTTGGACATTTTTGTATTACTAGGATCTAATTGTTAATAATATTACATATACATTTATAGCTCATCAATGAATACCTAGGTACTTCATAATATGGAACAAATATATTAAAATGTTTTAATTTCCTAAATTTATGAATATATATTAAATAAATCAATATAATGATCATTTCTTTGGATATATACTTGTATGGGAATAACTATTATGTCCTCCTTATGTCATACTGTACATGTATGTACATATGAGGAACGTTTATATGAGGTAAATAATTTTACAGGTGTGTTATGTGTTCAACTAGTCCACTCCCTTGAATATATATGCTATG